CAAAGTGGAAAAGTTTACGTTTACGAGAACCTTTTCCTTTCCGTATTTACTATGGAAAGTTAAAGGGTAAATGCAATTATTCTTGCTATGATTTAAAAATAAAGATAAAGCAAAACTTCACTTTTGAAGGAATTGTATTTCATGAATGTCTACAAATATTTGAGCTTTATAAAAGTGGTAAACCGATAGGCCTACAATTAACAAACTGTTTGTTATTGAATTGGTAGTTTATTAGGAGCAACGTTTTTTTTTCGAATTACCTAAACATTTACGTATGTTGTGCTACAAAATATGTGCTACGAAATAAACAGTATTGTGACTATTAAAAAATAGCGTTCTGCAATAGTGGCAATACTGTAATATAATAAATCATAAATGTATAAAACAAAATATTGTGTTAGAAAATATCAAAAGGATTCGAATAATTTCCATGCAAACGATACAAAAGTCCTTTGATTTCAGCGAACACACAAATAACAAAACAAAATTTACTCTCTAATGTAAAAATGTTAACCTATGTAATTTTTTATATTTTTTCTTTTAATATTTAACTCGAGTTCTCAAAGCTTAGCTAGTGGCGAAAACAGTTAATTTATCAGACTCTAGTGATATAAAAACTATAAAGTTTAAATTAGTAAAAAATGAGTTCTTAGTGTATTGCCCAGAAGGCACTTACCTTCATTGTTGGCTGTGGTGAGTGAAGTGTCTACCCTAGCCAGTGTACAGACTATATACTACACAGACAGTTCGACATTGGCCTAAGACGTGCCTTCAACACTTGCCAAGGGCCTAGGTCACCTAATGGACGAGGGTCTACACCTACTATGCAGTAACATTACATATTTCAGTTTATGTACGGCGAAATTATGTCAGTATTTGTAACTTCAAGATGGTTTAGTTAGTGTATTACGGATAAATAAGTGGGGTGGACTTGCTTATGGTATTTCATTTGCAGTTTGGATTCAATTTCTGGATGATGTTTTGTTAAATCAGGTATAAACATTGTTTTAAATTTTTTATATGTTTATTCATGGTAATAATTTGTATTCTCTTATGTTTAATATTAAGTTCATCCTGTGTCTCTACTTTCATTGCTAAATGATAGCTACCTTTACACCCGCGTTTTGCAACGGGGCGAGAACTCAGATAATTTTTGTTTTTAATTCTCTGCAAACAAACACTTACAAACCCAATTTTTTCAGCGAATATAGTCTTATTCTATTTAACTTGGTAGAATTCCACTACCTGTATAAAAAACGAAATTCTGAATTCATCACAATTTAAACCTAGTACTAAGGAGCAAATGTAAAAATATGTTTTAGTTTTTTCTCTTGTGACCAAAATTGTTCTTCCAAAGGTCTATCTCGAAACTTTGGATTTGGAGAGTTCCGATAAAGTTTTAATGGCTTGAATATATTCGTGTGTTGTTTGGGTCCATAAACATCTTTTTTTATAAAATGTTAGCCCAGTATCTTTGACGTAACTGCATTAAAATACAGCAACCAGGTCCATATTAAATTTATCCGTTTCCATTAAATTATGGTAACTGCTTAGTGTTTTAGAATCTTGTGGATAGACCATTACGTGTATTCAATGATTGGCATTATTTTTGTTCTACTTGTATCTATATTCTATATTTGTACTATTCTATAGTTAGCCATGGTTTACCAACCTCTATAATATTGACAAAAACACATTTTTTAACACAAGTAATTGTGTTTAGCTTTGATGAGAGCTCAAAAAATGTATTTTGTCGTTAGTAGATTACAAAGCGCTCAAATTTGAGGGAAATGTTGTAATACCTTTTTCAACTGATTTATACACTCTTATATGAGTTCAACAATAATACACACATTTTGACTATTTTAGACGAATGAACAAGACTAGACCATATATTTTAATCGGGACCGATGGCTTTTTTAGTAATGTTAAACATATTCCTGAATTTGAATTGGTTAAGTTTTTGAATGAAGGCAGTAAATTAATTTCAGATAGACTAAATTTAGAAGAGAATCACGGTAATTCCAGTGTTGAATTCGTAAGAGATCACCTCCTGTTATGAAACATATTTCAAATTTTTCTCTGGTTAATTAATTAACGTAGGCTATAACCTGAATTATCCTTTAGGGCATTATCAGGTTGATTTTGGGATTAGAATTGATTACATCCATGTATCACCACAATGTTTATGCCCTCTTAACTGTCAAACATGTCTCAAATTTTTTGTATGTGTGTAAATGAGTCATTTTAAAAATATTTATTATCTTTTATGTAGTAAATTGTAATATTTTTATGATCAACAATAAGAACGAAAATGACGAGTAGCCTAATAATTTGGATTTCAGGCAAATTTTTTTTATTTACAGATATAGGTTTACTTGAGACAACATTATTTTAAAGTTGTCAATTTGAAAACTTGTAGTCGTTTCAAACTATTGATTCAATATTTTTATACAATACTTTACTATCCATTAGTGAATGTCACTACTTCATGATAATATAAGTACTAATGTTGTTAGAAATTGAATATTCAAACCTTCTACAACAATTGTGTCTAAGCCTTAGAGATCTGTAAAATTGTGCCCTTTGATATCAGGAATACATTTTTTTAAGATATATCTCGATATTTATTTTGGAACTTTGTCTAAACTGGGGGAAACCCACTTGACAAAACTTACTTCTCAAATATTCATTTTGATAGCCCCTGGACTAAGTATATATGACTTTTTATGCTTACCTCCTTAAGGTGATGTTTTCGACGTGTTGCAAGCTCCGATGATGTTACATTGCAAAGAAACGTGTCAGCTTTAAATAATTAAATCTAGACGCAATTTTGGACTGCTGACGGAGTAAGCCTAAAAAGTTATACTTTTCAGTCTGGTACAAGGACCAATATAAAAGTGATGTACCTTATCCTGTTTTACCCCTTTCTTCATTACATTATTAAGGACCTTTTATAATTTGTTTGATTCTGTAAATGCTTATCTAAATGTAGGCTACACTAAGGTATATTTCAGCAACATTAGGAAATGTAGCACGTAGAACAAGAGATTTACTGCGTCCGGCTTACTCCAAAGTGTTTGTTTTACGTAAGAATGAATAAAGAACGGGATTTTATTTGATTTTAAAAAATGCACACGGCGTTGAGTAAAGGTTTTGAACTGAACTAATATTATTAGATAATTCAGTGTTTAGTTGGCATAGTTTTAGATGAATTCATTAAATAATTATAAGTGTTTTAATGAAATTTTCTACATTATACTGATAAAAACCCTGCTAAAATTTCAGCTTTCTGATAAATAACAATTCTAACTAAATGTAATATGATGTTAATTAAATAATTGTAATAAATCATTTACAATTATACATTTGCATAATTAATTGCTTTGAACTGCATAGGCAAAAAATCTATTTAAATATAAAAACCAACAGAGTCGTAAAAATTCCTTGAGATTTTATTTTCCACTGATGCATAATATTATTTCGGTGAAATTAGTAAAATAATTTTTAACATGAACATCCTCAGTGAAAGCTAACTTTCGACTCCAAACTGTTCAATATAGTCTCTGTATTATATGGTCAAAAATTACACCATTTTCAGTGTCAAGATAGGAGGGATAGATATGGGTTAAAGTTTAAAAATCTTTAGTGTTTTTTTTTGTTTTTTTTTATAGAAATATCTTTAAAACAACGTGATTTAGCGCAAAACATGTTATATACAAAATTGATGTACGATAAATATCAAACAAATTGGTCCTCTTCATAATCTTGTTTAAGTGAACAGTCATAGAGATGTAAAAGATTAAAAATGGATATTTTTCAAAGAATTTTTTCTCTTTAAAAGTCCCAGGACAACTAAATGTAAAAAAATAAAGATAGAGCTACAAAACTTAGAACAAAGTCACTGGGGATAAAAATCATTTAAAAATATTATTCAATGATACGTTACCTCCTCAGGGGACGGCCTAATAGGAGTCAGAATGAAATGTGAATTGTAACAATAAGTGCACATCCAATTGTTAGTAAAGTACAATGCCGCAAACTCAAGCTCAAACGACAACCAAGTCAAAAATAATAGTCGTTGATAAATTATCCAATTTTGAATCTTTTTTGAGTCTCCTACCTCAATGCCTGGTTTTTAAAGTATTTATGGATTACCTTACTTAACATTATTATTTTACATATGACAAAATATTCATCCAATATCAGATGCTAAATAGTATATTTCGTACCCAGGGCCGAAAATGAGGTTTTGCCAGCTCGAGATAGTTTTTAAGTTCGAGACGAAGTTGAGAACTTAAATCGATCGAGAGCTGCAAAACCATTTCGGTCCGAGGTACGAACGCTATTTTTCACCACACTATACCCTATTACCACTATTCACCACTATAATAATGCACACTGATAGTCAACACAACTACAATATTTAAGGTTATGTGAAGAAATAGTTTGAGGAATCAGCAAAAATAAAAATAAATAGTTGCTAGGCAACGGTGACAATAACACAATTCTATTGCAATGCTATGGATTTTGATTTGTGTATTTAAAATGCATTCATGTTTTAAGTAAGTAAGCGGACAGCTGATTTTGTGGCCCCGGCCTGTAAAAACCTGCTTGGTCCCCAAATTACGATGACAGTTGGCCAGCAAAACGTAACTTTCAGCCACCAATTAACGTATGTAATACATCCAAAAACATCAGTGTGGTGAAAAAGACATTTTAGTTATAAACTCCCTTTGTGTAATAAATAAGTATAACTTTAGCAAAGCAACCATTAAAAGTGTGTCTAAAAAATTTGACAAACTCTTTAAAAGATAGCTGTTAAAACTCTTCTTCATGTTTTGTTTCTATAGAGTGCAATGCAATGACACATTCTGAATTAGAGTTTTTTTTTTTTTTTTTACTGTAGATTATATTTGTGTCCATTGTGTAACTAGTTCAATTTGTTTTGCACATTTTTCCGTAGATATTATCTGTGACAAGGCAAAATAACAGAACACTTTGATAAAACAATTATTTATACAAATCAATAATAAGTTATTTATTTACATCACATATAGATCATCTATACATATTAATAGTAACAAATCTAATACATTTCAATGACAATATGTACAATAACATCAATACAACTATTCCTAGCAACACCACAAATTGCCAACAAAACAAAGATGGCGGATCAATAATTCTTAAAAAGTGGATTAATCAAGATAATATTATTCACACTAATAAATCCACTAACAAAAAAAAACTCAGTTTTGTTAGTAATTCTAATAACTCAGACAATAATTTCACACCCTGAAAACAATTTAAAACTAATATTTAACAGAATAACAAATTTCAAAACTAATTTAATGTCTACTTTCATTAGTTAAACTCTAATAAAATAGAATCTGTCCTTTAAATGCATCAGGTGTCTTTAACTTGCATTAATAAAAGCTTAAATGAGTTTGTTATCACAGAGCTAATATAAATTATCTACAAATCCATGCTATTTAATTAATGCATACACTTAGATGAGCTGTTTATTTAATTATGTTGGTGTTGACCATAAAAACATCCAATGCTAAACTACAGTAACATTATTGGTATAATTTAAGATTTTAACTTTGGTTCCCAAATGTACGGTAGGGATAAATTTTTGAGTGACAAATTTAATCAGACATGGGTCAATGTGAAAAGACTCTAGCTTATTTTCCAAACTCTCTATTTATCATCATATGTATTTAAGTATGGCCATGAGAAGCTAAACACATCAAATACTTCCTTAGAGGGAATTTTGTTTAAGAAGTCCAATACCAAGTTTGAGAACCACTGTTCGTAAATACTTCTATAACTATTTTAATATCTGAAATAAGTTCAGTACAACAATACAAAAAAGGCAATATCAGTCAATATTAATTTCAATGTTGGTAGGAAATGTTACACGACTATAAATGTGTATGGCTATTAATTTATGTAACACTTACTATGTATAACAATTTTATACATTAAATACTTTAAAAGTAATTATTTATTTACAGACTACAATGATTTGTTTAGATCAGTACCATTATTTTTTATTCGGTAAGAATCAGTAATGTAAAAATGTTTTAACAAATGAATATACCAATTAAGATAGAATTTTCCATAAAATGCAATTAAATGTTAACTGTTTTTTTTTTAAGTAACACAATGCTATTGCATATTATACATATTTAAAACCATAACTGAAATTGTAAAAAATATTATATTGTATTTTTTGCTACTTGGATACTTACCGGCAATATGAATAACAATTGATTTTAGTCATACTTTTAATAGATCTACATTAAAATTACATTCTTAAAACTTAGAATCAACTCATGTTTAGTACACTTAGTAAAGAATATATTTTCCAACATTAAACCTTTCATTTATAATTCAAACTAACACATAAAATACCCCAACTTAATACAAATGTTAAACACTATTTCTCCACTCTTTTCGGATTTTACTAAATTAGAAAGCTACTGAGAAACTGATTAAATTCCAAATTAATTTGAAAAAATATTAATTGTTGTAAAATGGTAACTTATGTTTAATATTTAGTGTATAATTATCAAACTTTCATACAAAGTTTAAACAACAAAAGCCCCTCTATAAATGTTTTTAGTTGCATTTCCAGCAAATAACTTTTAAAATACCATACATCATAACATATTTTTCTACAATCTTCGAGAGTTAACCTAGCAACAACCAGTCCATGGTGGTAGACCATATTTTACACAATAGGTACTTTATTGAGCACATTAAACAATAATAAATTGACACATTTTCCCACTTATTGTATATACAAAATTATTTTTCCCACTTACAGATTTTAATATGTGAACAAATTTCTACATTCCCAAAAATTTGAGTTCTATGTTGTTTTTACAAACAACTTTTATGTTGCCAATGAATTTCACTAAGTACATGTAAGAAGTAGAAGCTGATAGACTACAAACTCGCTTACGAAAAGAGTTCAATGTAATTGGTAGTATATAAAAAGTACACATTCATTTTCACTCCTCATGAGGGTCCATCAAAAAGATGATGAATTGTTTAAGAAAAGTTCCCTTCAGTAGAATGAAATATCAAGTTTGATGTATTGTTTTTCTACTATCAACCACTAAAACACTTTTCTTACATAAATAGTTGTGCTTCCTTCTTCCTTCTTATTGTACTCCTTAGCCATTGCCTCCCCCTTCTTAACATACAATAGTCTACTTTAAAAAGTACATCAACCATATACAATACATTGTAGACATTTCAAAAAGACTTTTTGTTAAAACATTTGTATAAATAAATTTCTCGTTGTTAAATGACATATCAGTCCCTAACGCTGTTATAAAATTACTTCCTAAATTGACTTTTAAATACAATCAAACTTACTTTTGTTTACTTAGTTTGAAAAAAAATTAGGGTTTTAGATTAGTTTATAGATCTTAGCAAGGTCGCAACAATTCTGCTTTTTACTTTGATGCTGATGCCGTTTGGTACAAATACACCATTATTTTTATGTGGCATGTAAAATTTTTGTTTTGCTTTTGATTCTAGGAAAAGCTTTTTTGAGTAAAATTTTACATCGTGTAGAAAGAGATCAAGTTCAACTAGTTTATCTGAGATATTTAGGTCTTTTTGGTTCAAATGAAGAACAATAATTAAGACACAATTAACATTATGGCTTTTGGATGGTAAAAAACTATGCAAAATGCATAGTGAGAAATAAGTCACAGTTTACCTAGTAGATAGTAATAGTGATTTTTTTACAAAATTATCTATGTTGAATATAAGATTCATTCTCCAAGTGAATTCCAACAACTTTTTAAAATTATGAATACTTCCATGGCATGCTAGCTAAACTTAATCCCTTTCTTGACACTAAACAATTAATTTATCACTGTTGATGATCCAGACGCATCAGTCTACGGCAGGATGGTTGAAACTACTTCTTGTTCCGTTGTGGTTGCATCCTGTAGTAGAACGTCCGGGTTGGTAGCTGGTTCAGTCCCTTCGGCCCACTCACTATTATCTTTGTCAGTGGTGGTCTGGGAAACCTCAACCTAGAATAAATTTTATACAAATTACTAGAAAATGTGCGTCTTGAAGCTGAATAAAAATTTTTTGGGCATTTTTCCATGACACAAGGAAGAAGCGCAAAACGGAGTAATGTTTAGGGATCAAGTAAAATTTTATGTTTGCCTATATATATTTTATGGATATAAGGAAACTATTGAAAGTAGTACTGCGAATGTTTTCCCATCCTGAATAAAATAACAGTAGTAAGTATAGAGTCTTACATAAGTACTATAGAGTCTTGTACCCTATTACCACTATTCACCACAATAATAATGCACACTGATAGTCAACAGACCTACAACTTTAAGTTTATGTAAAGAAATAATTAGAGGAATGAGCAAAAAAAATAATAAATAGTTGCTAGGCAGTGGTGACAATAAAACAATTATATTGCAATGCTATACTGATTGTGTGTTTAATATGCATTCATGTTTTAAGAAAGTAATCGGGCAGCTGATTTTGCAGCCCTAGGGATGTAAAAACCTGCTCGGTTCCCAAATGACGATGACAGCTGGCATGGCCAGCAAAACTTAACTTTTAGCCACCAATTAACATGTAAAACAGCTAAAAACATCATAGTGTGGTGAAAATGTATACCGTAAAGGTCTCAATACATGTTCATGGGAAAACAAATAATGGGATGAAAAAATTAAGTACAAACTGTACATTACTTAATTTAAGATTTAAAGGTGCTGTAGGTTGAAAAATTAAGAACTCTTTTACGAGAAATATACTACATACTGTAGTTAGCTTAATCCAGGGTTGAAGAAAATCATTGCTTGTCACCAATATATTTTCGGCACAACATACTAGAGCAGAAATTGCACGGTCGACCCCTAAATAAGTTTCATCTGTACCTTACTTCTCTGTGGTACTTTTACTGTTTGAGTAGCATTATAATGGGCTAATTGAAGTGCTGGAACAATAAATGAGCTAACTAGTAAACATAAGTGTAAAATTGGTTAGACTAGTAATCATACCTCTGGAAGCTGGTCAGCAAATAGCACTTTGTCGATGAAGAACATTGTTCCCAGATTGTACACAAACACCTCACTTTGAACAATCTTCGCTCCTTCTACAGTAACTGAGCCATCTGGAAACATAATTTAGTTAGATCTTCATACAAAATAAAATAAATATCAAGACATCATCTGCTAAAAAAATACCCCCGCTACAGCAAACCTGCAGTCTAAGTGAATTTCTCATTTGCCTTGATCAGATTTTTAATAAAATATTTCTTTAAACAGTCAAGATTCATTCTCTACTTAAATTACATTAGATTTGATGAGTACTTAGGTTTGCTGCTACAGGGAAGGTAATGAAGTGTGTCTAAATATTTGTTTCCATTACATGACAATTTCTAGAATCCCTTCACCCTCCATTTTTATACATTTTACTCGTATTTTACGCTGCATTTATAGTTGAACTAATTTATAACACTAACTACTGTAAAATAAAGCACTAAAAAACTTCTTTGCGAAAGAGATCATTTAGCTTTTCTAGCCCATATGTTGTACAAGATTCATAGTATGATGTTCATGTGAATATTAACCTTGAGATGGAAGGCAACTCACTGCATTGAATAGCAAGTGAATGGACAATGGCCAAGCTAACTTTCACTACTAGTGAGTCAGTGTCATATGAAATATGGTGATAATTTTTATTATATTTTATACAACAGTAAACCTGCACTAAAATAATTTCAGTAACTTTAATTACAAATGTTTGAGAGAAAGTATTTTACCAGACTACTTTGATTGATTTTTATCTCAATTTTATTGTTTTGTGGTTTTTACTCACAATTTGTAAAATATTTGTAGTTTGAAAATACAGGGTGGAAAAAAGTCACAGGACGGTTAAGTATTTCAAAAAGTGATAAAGGATTAGCATCAAAACTTTGTACAAAGTTACTGGGCATTAAAATCTTTTTAACACATTATTATTCAGTAATGCGCTACCTCTTCAGGGAGACAGCCCGCTAGGAGTCAGAAGAAAATCTTAAATGTACACATAGGTTGATATGCACATCAATTTAAAGGCCTTCAATAATAGCATACAATGCTGCAAATTTCAACTCAAATGGTCAACCAAATAAAAAATAGCCAGCTGTTTAAGATTTCTTGAATCTGCCATTTTGTATCTTTGAGCGGCTGTCATTTTTTACTCAGTAGTTCTTTTGAGCTTAAATTTGTGTTATTGTATTCTAATAATAAAGACCATTTAATTTGATGTGTATATCCACCTATGCATACATTTATGATTTGCTTCCGACATCTAGCGTCCCATTGAGAAGGTATGTGAATAACAGCAACGCAAATTCAATGCATCTTTGAATAGCTGTTATTTTTTACTCGATTGTCTAATTGAGTTCGGGTTTGCAGCATTTTATTTTATTTACAATGACCTTTTATTAATTTGATATGCATATCAACCTCATTTTTAATGTAAACAAGTTTGTATAAACAATCAATAAACCAACTTATCTTAGTATTTTCATTTTCATAACTTTAATACAGTGGTAAAATTATTATACCCATGTCTTCGTATTAATTTTCCGTAATCCAAATAAGTAGTTTAATTTATCTAAATATTTTATTCTGTAATTATATGGAAAGTAGTACCTAAACAGCTTTTAGTAGAGAAGTTTTCCAAAACAGATAAGAAAGATCTTGTCAACTGATGGACCCATACATTCAATAAATCAATCAAAATCAATCAATTGAGATATGGACGTCACCTAGTTCACATTTTAACCCAAATATGAGCGAATATGAGCGAAGGATGAGTGTAGAATGAAGTGAGAGTGATGCCTTGTGTAGCTTATTTACTGACTAAGATCAGCTATTTCATTAGTCAGGATGATTTTTTTAAAGCCCAATGATCAGAAAAAGCAGGGTCTAGTTTTAACCATAAAAAAGCTATTGACTTTTTGTATGACCAACAGCTGAAAGTGGGTTTTGAATTATCATATAAACATCTCACATCATTTTTTTTTCCTATGTTACAAAAAAAAAACTACTAAAAACTAGGTTGGTGGGATTTGGATTTACAACTCCTCTTTACTTCTTGGGACCATTAAAAACACATTTATCATCCAGGAATACATTGATGGACCAGAGTGAAAATTTAAAAACGTACGTTTTCAGGAAAAGCACTTTGCAAATTTTTTTCCCCTTTTTTCAAAACTTTTATTATAATTTTTATTTCATTAACATTTGAAGTTTCATAAAATGTCCATGGTAACGCAATATCTTTGGTATTTTTTTTAAAAAAGCGCATCTTTAGTGAAAAAATACAAAATCCTGTCACGACCATAACAGACGTTTAAATGAATATTAAAAATAGTTAATATTATTTTTATAACTATGTTTTGCTATAAACTAATTTACTTTTATGACCATTATACATTAAAAAGGTCACTAAGCTTTTGGTATATTTGGTCTTTCTAGAAAAAAATAAAAAAACTCAAAAAATTGAAAAAAAGCCAATAAAATCTTTTTAAGTTTGTATAACTCTGAAAAAACTTACCTGAGACCCGAAAAATTGTTATGTTTGTATAGAGGTGTGCTTCTTTTGTGTATAAAACATTGAAATATGACGATATTTTAATTTTTGAAATTGTTATGGTAGAAATCATAAACGTGATGGTCAGGGACAAGCGGTACGGTCGTGAATTTTCTGAAATAATCTAAATCTTTCTAAACAATCCTTCAATTATACTGTTAGTTATAATAAAAATAAGTGTTTCAATTGAACTAAACTGTTCAAATTACAATTATATTTAAGTTATTGTCACGACCAAACACACTATAATCCATAAGGCTGGATTGGTCGTGAAAAAACCCGCGATGGTCGTGAAACTTTGGTCGTGAAATTACGTGTTATTTGGCTCTGTTCTGGCGGTAGCCCTGCACCTCATGTTCGAGGATACAAAGTGAACTTCTAGGTTAATCTAGCAATTGAAATATCTTATAAACAAAAATTTACACCATGTCTACTTCATCGAATGACTACGTACGGTCATGGACACAGCAAAATTACAAAAAACACAATCTTTCCTTTATTAATCTTGTAATTCCTCCTTTCAACTCGAAACGACCGGCACTACAATCCTGACGTACACCCCGAACTAGTCTCTAAAACCAACTGACTCCATCGACGCCAGGCTTGCCACTGTCGTGCTCCAAAGTTGAAAATTTTTCCCAAATGGTCGTGACGCCAAATCGAGGGACAGACTTATTTTGTCATGGTAGTCAGTTTGCAATGACAATAAAATTATAATATGCTCCTTTTTTGTAAGTTTAATAACCATTGATGACATAAAAATATGGCTTTATATATTTCGGCATGAATAATTAGTCTAAAAACAGCGTGAATGTTGGAAAATGTACCCTAGGGACACGTCATGGTCGTGAATTTCGAGACTTTAAAAATACGAAAAAAATACCTAGAACCTATTTAAAACCAAATAAATGTGTGTAACATGTTGCCCCCATCCCAAAAAATATTAAAACACATAATAATAAACTACAAATCCAGTATCTACGAAATAAAAGGCCAGGGACATGAAAACGTACGTTTTTAAATTTTCACTCACCACCATTTGTGTGTGAATGAACTAGAATCTTTATTTGAGCTTCACAAAGGAATGAGAGGACAGGAGATATGATTTTGGTGCATATAGATTGGATCCACCTTGGACAGTCATAAAGATTCATTTATTATTCATTATTATTTACGATTTATTCAATCTTTGATCCACTTTGGATCAACCAGCGACTGTCATGTTTCAAAGTTAGCACTGTAACTATTTGCCAACCCAGACATTTATTTTCATAGCGTAACAAATCACCTATATGTTATGTTATGTTATGAAGACAGGATCAGATTCCAGATCCAGTTTTTTACCATCGTGATGGAAAATGTCCGCAATAAATCTTTGAACAACATTAACTCACCATCACCAACAATGAATTTCAAACAACCTAATCACCTACAGTTTCATATCATCTACAAACTATAGCAGATGAGTCCGATTACAATACCTTCTATCCTCTGAACACGCAGAGTTTTTCCTCCCAGTGACTGAAATGTGGCGTTGTTGGTGAGATCTTTGTCGTACAGTCGATCCTTGACAAAATGACTGAGCAGAACTTGAAGACCATCTCCAGTTGAAAGGAAGTTGTCTGGGGCGAACTTCAGGCCTTGTTTCTCAAAAGCTGCATCCGTCGGAACAAAGAACGAGTATCCTAGAACATAATGTAGAACTTTAAAATTTAAAACAATTATGTTGGTCAGTTATATCAGAGTTTATTTGTTTCTTTGATGTTAACAAATTTGTCCAAGGGGACGATCATTAGATACTTGATGTAATGTAATGTCTATTCTTGTAAACTATCCTAACTGTTGGAAATATTTTATGAACCAAATTTTAACTGCTTATTGTGTCTTAATGGATAGCAAATAATAAGTGAGAAATTTTGGGAATGTCCAGATATTTGATAGAAAAAAATTATTAAAAAAGGTTCAGGATAAAATTAAATAATGAACCAAATTCACCCTGATTAACTTTTTGCTTTAAGGAAGATCGTGAACGAATGATAGTTGCTAAAACTATATGAAGTAAACAGAAGGAGACATTTTTATGCTACAAATATAACTAAGTTTATTGTGCAACTACAGGAATGCGGCAAAACAGAAGGAGTTTTACTCCAAGTATTCTAGTTATTAAGGTGGTAGGCAGACACTTTTGGGCATCGGTAACTCACATAATTTTAGTTGCCATCAAGGTTTAGGTTTAGACCAGACAAAATCGTGGGTATGCAAAGTGTGCATATTTCCAAAATAAAAAGTCAGTAATTGCGATTTCGAGAGCTTATTGTCACTGATTTTAAAATTTGCTTATCGACACTGTTCATAGTGTGAACACAATACAATCGTTGGTCAAAAAGCTGGAAGACAGAAGTAACACTCTTAAAACCATGAAAACCTTGTATGAAGCAGCAGTTGAGCAGTAGGCAAGACATTTGCCAAGAGCTTACAAATTACTACCGGTACTGAATCTTTTATTGACACAAGTTTCTGCATTTTTTCACAGTATGATTCTTTAAGTTGTTGGACAATTTTAATTTTGTATGGATGAAAACGTAATTCTTATTTTATAATTCTTCTCAAACTACGATATGACATTCCTAATGCAATAGCGTACCTCCTAAGGGAATGTCTTGCCGACTACCCTACCACTGCTATGACCAACACTTTCCAGTTCTCAGTGATGTTCTTTGTTTTCTGTATTTAGAAGTTTTAACAATGCTACCACCATCTTTCAACTTTTTGCACTGTTTTGCAATGCAAACAGTGACAATGAGTGGGATGATAAGCCCCTGAGGCTCTTTGCGTCAGAACCATACTTACTTGTTGTTTTAGAAATAAACGCACATTGCAAAACCTTTACGTTGTCCTGTCTAACGCTCCTTTCATACTATACGATTTCGCTCATACGGTTATTAATCGTATTTGTAGTCAACCATTGGAGCTTATGGCCCCATTCATATCGTGCATTTACTAATCGTGTATGATTTTCACCCGCATAGCGATGAGGTGACCACGGTTGGTATCCGACTCCCGTCCGAGTAATAAATAATTGTGTCTACAGCTAATAATGTGACCATATGGCCCCTTTCACACTACACGATTGTTTAGTCGTACCGGAGCCCTCCCCGAGTGCATTTCGTTGTGCATAGTTTTCAGATATTTTGTGTTTTCAGTTTAATTGTTTAATTAATGAGTTGAACTACCTGTGCATACTGTATCATACATTTTTTTTTATTCATTACAGTTTTGTTTATATAGTTAAAATTATGGATGTGATTGACCTTAAGTTTTAAACGATTCTCTTCACATCCGAAAATAGTTGAAAAACTTGCCTTTGTCATTTCTCAGGTCTTGAAATAATGTTTTAAACATCCCCACTTCCTCACGTCTCAAATTTATTTAATGCACTCAGTGGAGATGGTCGCATTTTTTTTTTCTCCGCCAGTAAATTATCAAAGCAGCAATAATTTGCTTGCGATCCAAACTACTTAACTTAACTACTTAACTACTTTCCACTGAAGTGTCAATGAACTCTGTTCTAGTGAATTGGGGGTTAAGATTTTTTAATTGTACGATTACAAATCGTAGTGTGAAAGCAACAGACCCACGATCATCTGCCCGTACAATTAAAACTCGTACGAGCAAAATCGTATAGTGTGAAAGGAGTGTTATTCTTTAAGGCAAATGAAATGGTATGAGTGACCAATGACAACAAGACCATAAACATTTGCCTATCACTTCTACAGCTACTACGTGGGGATACTACGTGATACAAACTGCTTAATCCATTTCACAGCACCCTTTATAACTATGAATGGGGCATCAACATCAACAAACAACTAAACTAATAAATTAGAGCTCTAACAAACAAAGCTACTGAACAATATTGATTTTACACCTCTGCGTTTAATTTAATAAGAGTATGTTCAAGATCTTGTAACATACATTATTTTCTATAAATTGTCCCTTAAATCATTTAGACTCATTTCTGGAAGTGCAGTATAGTCTGATGTGACCTTTAAAGATTTATGTTTTGAAGGATCAATTTTTCAGTTACTGTAAAACTACTTTCTCGTATTAGAACAATTATATATTTCTAAGCAGTGCTCGATTTGATGGGGAACGCGGCGGAACGGAGTTCTGGTACCTCTCTTTTGGAAAGATAAAAATATTGGCATAAATAGGCACTAATCACATTAAATAGGTTACAGTTCCGGCACCTTAATTTTTACAAATCGAGCACTGTTTCTAAGTATTTTTAATCAATAATATTAAATAAAGCTATACATTGCAACCTGTTGTGAGCTGTAACCTATATCTGGATTCCAAACAGATTTTGGCAAAAATTAATATACTTTGAATAGTTAAGTTGCTGTTCCTGTTTTAAAACCTCTATTATAAATCATTGTCACTAGAATACCCACCAGCCCCTGAGATGTGTGGAGCCAAATCAGCCATGTTGAGGAAACGTGTGACATGGGAAAAGTGGGGCGTTCTCTCCAGCGCGAGGAACGCATGGGACAGGAACTGCGCTCCAAACCACGGGAACGCAAGTAGCGGAGGAGTCTCCTTGTCTTTGTGTTTCTGGTGAAGTCTCTGTACGACTGTTTCATTGACGAACAAAACTTCGGAGACAAACATGATGTTGCCTCGTGCCACGGGAGTGTCTCCTTTCACTACATCTGCTCCATTCACCGTTAAACCAGCTCCTGTCAACATATACACATCCGAGTCAATCATTTGTTGGGTACATCTTTCAGTATTTTCTCAGATAATTTTTTAATAATACTGTAAATATTATAGGCATTAGTGTCTACAGTGTAGTAAGAAAATAATGTTAGAAGACCCCCTGAAGATGCCAAACAATGTGAAACTTAAAATCAACTTCTACAAAGGCAAAAGATAGGTCATTATTACTTAAATAAGAGTGTACAGTGCCAAATTTAGGGTACTTGCTGCAATTAATTTACCTGAGCGTCCCTTACCCCTAAGGTGGAGCTTCCCTCCTATCGTGGACACCTGCCGCGATTAAAGGACCACCATCATCTCCACCCGCTATTGCGGCAAAATCGTGAACATTTCCCATGATCACAGTAAACTTAGTTAAGTCTAATAACTATGTAATAATTTTTGTAACCCACAGTCTATTCCTACTCGCGTACCAACTAAGTTTTGTTTCCAGGATATGCCTATCTTTTAACGAAAACGATTTATTTCTATGTCGTATACGTATGTGTAGTGTGTTGAATGTGCGTCCGTATTTAAATATCAATGAAGCTAATCAAGCGGATTCAACATTGTCCAGTTATGAATTGTAAATAAATTGTAAGTACATTGTAAACAGTAGAATGTATGGCTTTATATCTTTAGTACAACCCTGAAGATGCCACACCCTGAGGTGAAATAGGTATGTATTAATTGAACATCAAGAACTCAAGACAAACAACCAAAAACATAAGGTAACTTAATTAAAAAGTTCCTGAAATTGGATAAAACAATTAATACTTAATAGTATAATTACAGTACGGCCCACGAGAGTCTGCAGTTGAGGGAGGAGCCTATTTACCACGTGACTTTGAAGGAGCCAATGAGGACTGTGCGTTGTTTCCAAATCTAATAATAACAGTTGATTTGACAATATTGTTTAGTATAATTTTAATTAGTGTTGAAAATTAGTGAACGGGCGATGTTGCAACGTCGTGCCAGTCCAGTCTTGCTATTGGCTGCCGCCAGACTCTCGTGGCCCCTAATGTAAGTAGGATGAGTATACTAAAAATAACTGATGAATAAGCCAGCTTTTACACCAAATTGAAAAGGACAATAATTTTAAACTATAGATCTCTTGCATCACTTCAACTATATCATACTGACAAAAACCAAGGGAGAAGACAGAATTTTCCTACAGTCACCCGAAAAAGTGGGTTTCCTTGCACAGGTTATAGTACAGAAAGCCTTACTTTGGCGCACAGTTTTTACTTTGGTGCACAACAGTTTTCCAACCAAACAACACAAAACAGTGTCCTTTTAATATGTACGCTTGAAAATAAGTTGGCAACACTTAAAGATATTAAGACTACGATCATTTGGTGCAGCGTTTACCATTTTGTTCAATATTTGAATTTAATCTAACCTAAAAACATGATGTACAGTGTTTGAAAGACAAATTATTTATATTATTTATAGCATAGACAAAAAGAATTAAATATAGACCGTCAGCTGTGTTGCGGTTACGATAGGTTCTGTCGCACACCGCTGGGAGCGCCCTTTAGTTACGGCGTACGCGCTATGTAACTACACGGCGCTACCAGCGGTATGCGCCAGAACCTATGGTAACCGCAGCACGGCTGACAATCTATATTTAATTCTTTTTGTCAATGTTTATAATAACTGTAGGAAAAACATAATGTGTAACACTAGTGCAAACTGCTGTTGCTGCACTCAAGAAACTTTCCACACTCACCTGCGGCTCGTACGTAAACATTTCTCTCATGTGCAGCAAAGTGCCACTCGCACACTAGTTACACAAATAACTATAGTAGTGTTATTTAACAATCACTAACATTAAGAAATTACCTATTGACACTCAGTTGACATGCATAAAAACCTAATATAAACGGAGCCTCTTATACCTTTTTTATGGAAAACTATTTCTTGTCCTCCCAAAGTCTTAAACGTTTGACCATCTTTTATTTGCTCTTGGCGAATGTTCTGAGGTACAAAATGATTTGTGAGGACATTCTCAGTAAAATCAGGCACTGAAAATGGATAGAATCCCCAGTCTATCGGGTGCCAACGTTGGAAGGCTCGGTCTGTCGGAACGAACACTGTGTAGAACTCATCTGCAACAGAAAATACTCTGAGAAACAAATTTACCTTAGCCAACATATAACACTTGTGGGTGATAAAAATTCCCTAACTAACTCAAATTGAGTCTTTAATCAAAAGATAATCACAGTACAATTAATATAGGCCGTTGGATATACCAATAGAGGTTATTATATCCATTGACTTGTGTAATTCATTTTACAGATGTAATTTCATAAATCACCCATAAAATTCATTTTTGCCAATCAAAGTCAACAGAATTGATTTTCCACTTAGTCTAGCTTTTGGAATTAGAAACTTAACTAACTTGTAGCAACTGCTTGGATAATTGCAATTTACAAAAAACAAATTGATGATTTGTGTGCAAAAGATTTTGGCCTGGCGAAGTCAGGACTTGGCAGTTGATACCAAGAAATACTTTTTCACTATCACAAGCAGCACAACTTCCCTATAGGAACAGTTATCCCACCAACAACTACTTCTCAGGAGTTGCAGTGTGCTACTCCCTATGAACCCCCTACTACGCCTATGAATGTATGTCCTACCCCTATGAATCTCTCCGCCACTGAACCTCGGAGGTGTGTTAGGACCATTCAATAGCTTTTCAAGCTACCGTATTTGTTTCAGTTCACTGCTTTAATGTATTTTGATCAAAAATCAACACTCTGTTACCTTGCTTCAAGAGTTTGGTGACATTGGAGCGAGCCAGCAGATGTTGGAACACTCGGACACCTCCTTGTAGAAAGGACAAGACTTCCGTCATATCCTGTAGGAAGCTGTGATCCTCGGTGAGATCCTCCGGGAACAGATAGTTCTCCAGGATGATGAGTCTCCCGTTGGACACATCTACCTTTGGGTTCGTCACTCTGGCTCCGTTAGCAATCAGGGAACCTGGAACAGAACCAATTGTTTAATATAACCATAGTGGTTATATTTGATGCATTTCGTCAAAGTATACTTGATATTATTAATTTAAATTTCTCTGGTTGTTAGTATACAAATTTATTGCTTGAGAAGGGCTTCAAACCCTAAGGTAAGAGCATGATCAGATTGTAAAAGTCATTGGTGATTTTAGTGAACGTGAACAGGCTTTTTTTGCAGAGGATTTCAAATATTGATTATTTATGTTCAAATACCATGAATTTACTGCTCGAGAGGACTTCAAAAGTCACAATATAAGAACATACATTCCAAAGATAATTGGTGGTTGATAGGGTCCTTAACCAAAACCCCCATTCTAACCCACCACACTGCATGCATCCTCGCAACATGAATGAATAAATTAACAAAGTTTGCGTAGAGCATCCCTATTTATTTAACACTCTTAAGTAAACCCACAGGAGATCGGTGTTTTATCAGATTAGGGTATGATGTTATATCTTCTCGTTCAGTCTTTAGCCTTCAAATCAAATCAAATCATTTTATTGAGCTAAAATTGACAATACATATTGCATTAGCTGAGTCATGGTACAAACGTACAGTATTAAAATTATTCAGTTTTCCTTATTCTTATTAGTCTATATACAGTAGTCTACTACTCTTGATAGTCTGTGTAAAGGAGCGCGGCCTATTTGGTAAAGCACAACTTGTCGTCTACGAGACCCTCTGGTTCAAATCTTGCCAATTGTGTTGTTTAGCAGTGTGATAAAAATACATAATGCATCCTTCCTTATTCATTCTATCCCATGTTCATATCCAGTAATACGTACCTAAATGTGTTTTGCTGTCTTAAAAGGATTGATTAATTGTATCATGAGCGCAACACCTTTTTATAGAGTACCACCATTGATACTGAAGTAGATATCCCATCTATATGAACAAACTGTCACCAATTTAATTCTCTGAGCCATTCACAGATCCCACTACGGTAGTGTCTAAAACTTTATCTTTTGTTATTGAGATATTTGACGTTACATAAAATATGCTTTATAGCTTAAAATACAGTTATCCTATCAGTTATACTTGGCTAAAAAAGTCTGCTTACTATGCATGAATCCGTAATTTAAATGAGCTTAATCCGGAGACTCAACTATGTCTATTTTGATTTTAAAGCTGGCAACAACTTTAGCATGCAGATGAAATGTCTAGTTGTACGAATGGTCAAATGTACAGCCTTAATTTTTATTTGGATTCAAATGCTCTACTCCCAGTTGTGTTCCCATCGTAATTAGTAATAAATGTGACAAACTTTACCATGTTTCGCCCTGACCGTGACGGTTCGTCCGCCCAGTGTTGTGAAGCTGAGGTCAGCTCCGATGTCCAGATCTAGCCTCTGACCCAGAACCACGTGGTCCAGCAGCAGCTTCTTGACAGCCTCGGGTTGGGATTTGAGCTTCTCACTCGGAATGTGGAGAGAAGCGTTGTTGCGAGGAGCAAGGATCGTGAACGGCTTGTCTGTAACAATAATCAACAATAATAATTGTATCAATAATAATTGAATCAAACGGATTTTTCTTTTCAACTTGAGTTCGCCAGTCCATAGGCTTCAGTGCTGTGTTAGGAACACTTTTTTTTACTGTCCTGTATATTTGAACCCGGTACCTTGATCTTTTGAAGCCCCCGAGTTCTACTACAACTAGACCAGCTCCCTCTCCTCTGTGTATGGAACATAAGCAGAGATAATAATTATTACTTTGCTCAATTGGCAGACGCCCACCAACAATAGATTGCAAAAATGCTTAAAACTATTTGTGGGGGTTCTAGGACCTCGTCAAGGGAGAGGACTACCGAAGGGTTTGGGGGGGTCCACCCTGCAAAATTTGGTATTACTAAAGCTGTTTAGTGACTTTATAAAGTCATTTTAAGGACTAAAATGTGTCCAAAAAAAACTCCAATCTCATATGTTAATTAATTGTAATGAGCACATAGATTGCAAATTTTAAACTAAACGATGATGATTGCATGACAAAATGTAAGATTAAATTTATTTTTCCAACCCCTACATCACCCCCCCCCCCCTTAGAACTGCCAATCAATGGGTACTGAAATTTTTAAACTCAAGACATAGCTAAATTGCTTATAGTCACAGTCATCGATGTATAATACCATTATACATCGATGGTCACAGTACTGTCTCAATACCTTAACTACTTGCATACTTACTTACTTAATACATTAACTACTTCAAAAATACCGGTTTAATTATAGGTAAATTTATAAAATGTGTTCTTCAGTTCAGTTGTTGTTCCTTTTTCTCTATTAGTTGCTTAAGGTTCTTAAGTTCTTCGCAAAAAAGAAATGTTGTTTTGGTTTTCACAAAATGGATATTTATTTCAAAAGTTAAAAGTCGACCCAGTGTTTTACAAATGTTACAGAATAGTTTTGTGATATTCTTGTTTAGTATTTTTAAATGTTCAGCAGCAATTGAAAAAATCCTTTTATAGGTTTAAATTGCCTAGTTAAAACACGATAACATAGATTAAAAGGTATTAAAATTAATTAAAAAATGATGGTATCCAAGTTGCTTATATTCACTCTAATCAATATTATAATTATTAAAATTGTTAAGGTTTAAGTTTTAGTTCCATCCAATCAATAAATTTACATAATGTAAATACCTAAATAGTAAATGAATCTACTTGCTGTATCCAAAATAAGCTGTATAATCTTGAATCTTGTATAATGTACAGGAGGAGTAAGCCATTGCATGTGTGCCTGTTGTATATTAGACCACAGTGGAGGATTGTTGGTAGCTCCTGCAATGTATCTGACGCTAGTAGCATTACTCATGTGTTATGTGGGTAACCTGCCAGACGTAATGAAGGCTCTCAGGTGATGAGCACAATCATCCAGTCGAACAGCTGATGTACAGCTGACACGAACTCAATATAGAATTATTTCACGTGGGACTTGTGTTTATTCGGTGTTTTTATATAATTTTCTGTAAATATTTATAGAACTTTCAAAATGTTTTACGAAGCAATTTAAATTAACAAATAAAATGGAAAATTATCGAAATGCTGTGTTGCACCGCTAAACAATTAAATTGGCCTGAACAGCTGATTCGTTGACGTTCAAAGCATTACAATTTTACTTCTTCTCTCTCTCAATCCAAATAACCTCATTGGTCCGTTACTCGTGTTTTTGAGTAAAACAACAATGTTGTTATAAGTAAACAATGCTGTTAAGTGAATCTTTTCAATACTAAGAACTGGACTGTAACGGCTTGTTTAAGAAACGGTGTGTAATCTTTGGTAAAATGAATTAATACGATTCACCACTTGCATTTCGAGGTAGTTTGCTATCTAGAAACTTTAACTTACGATGGGGAAATGGTTTTGTTCTAAAAAGTGTACTGATATCATTACTTTATTAAATAAATCAAAATGAGAGTTTGTAATCAGTGTCGTTTAAGGAATAATAATTATACTTCAAGATATCATTTACTAACTTGTATTACTATTGAGTGGCCTTGACATAACCCGTTTTATTCGTCTTTGTTGTAGGTGTTGCGGATGTTGAGAGTGACGTCATTAAGATTTACAACCCTACAACGTTACTGAGTCTCGCCACTCATGGCCAAGTCGAACACGACGGGAAATTAATGTTAGGATGTATATGATCGATTACTAAATGTTTTATCCCTAGGGTGTTAATCTTAGGAACACAATGGATTTTCCTTGGTACCTACCAACACAATTAATCGATAACTAATCGATTCCCCAAAACAGTTAAAACTTTCGCAAAAAATACTCGTATATCAGTAAACATTCTCTACATTACTCTAAGTGGGCATAATTTTATGGGGTTTCTGCAAGAAACCATTGTTATAGAATACAAATTGTGTATAGTCGATGAAATAACTACCTTTTGTGAAACTTCGGGAAGGCAGTTCTGAAATTTATGATAAGGGACATTCTAGAAAGTATGTATCCATGACTGTGTATTTAATATTTTTGTCAACAACTCAGTGCAATACTGTCTTCTGAGGGTTATCAATATTTCGATCTTCATCCAAGGATGAATCTGAGAATACCATTAACTATTTATCATCAATGAAAGTAAATACACCAACGACTCCAACTCAATGGGGCATTTGAACCTGATAGGTTTTCGTCTTTAATCGCTGTACCTTTGTTGAAGGGGGTGTTGTAACCTAAATACCTAAAACATATAGAAGTGACGCTACATAACTCTCAAAGAAAAACTCTTGACTTGTTTCCTTTGAATTTAATTCAATTAAGCGCCGGTATATCCCCAACTGGAAACTGGCATTGTCCCTTCTTTCAATTGGTCCAGGAAACATTACCATATAAAACCTTTACAGAACCTTTATGAAAGGAGAAAAAATGTCAGTTTCCCTTCATCGAAACACACAGCTAAATCTCCATTCTCTACACCTTGGTGTACCTAACGCTACCGAAAAAAGAACAGTTCATGAACAATCACAAACAAGCTAGATTCTTTGAACCTGCTTCCATACTTTCTTCCTCAATTACAAGCGTAAGTTAAATTGACATATTTCCTCATTTTGTCAATTCATCCTAGTAACAATATATCCAGCAAACCTATCAGAATACTGGAGCGTCGACACAACAAACCTTCTGGAAAGGACTTTCACTCTCGCTGTGAACTATGGCACTGTGTCAGGAGCGGTCACCTGACGCTGTCGTCTGCTGGTCACCGATCAGCTGTTGACTGGTCAGCTCAGCTGGTTGCTGGGGCCGGCGCCAGGATGTTCTGGAATGTGCCAGGCGCCGAGGGTCAACGACATACCATGTCGTTGGAACTGGAATGGAATCGGATCTCCTCGTATCTTCTTTTCGGGACATCTTTGGCGCCAGGTCAGTTTTCACAAGCGTTCTGGATTCGAAGAATCATTTGGTTCGAACGGAAGTGAAATCAAGGTTGGATTTTCTCTTGGGATTGTAAGGTTTACGATTGGTTTGTTATCGTGTTGGTTTGTAGTTGTTTTTGTAGTGGTTTGTAGCGTTTCCAAATCAATTGACGCGTGCATTGCTAGGGAACTCTACTGATGTGGGGCATTCAAGCTCAAGGGGCTGGTCTAGTGTTTCTGTTTAGACTACGGCACTTCTGTCCTAAGGTTATAGGTTCAATTCCTGCCAAAACCAATTAAATTTACTATATTATGTCCAGGACCGGTTTTTTAAAGTCTGCTTTGAGCAATGTTCAAGGTTCCACTAAAGCAAACAGGATGGTCTCATAGGTTGACAAATATTTGTAAGATGTCTCTCTTCCTCAAGACATGAGTGACATGACTTTTTCCATCCCAAAACATGGTTTGGATCGTCGATACATTTTATGGATAAGCGGTGTTGTCATGTCGTGTTTTGAGGAGATATTTATAGACAATTTCCTACTTTAAGAGCCAAATTTTCGTCATTATCTAGATTCTAATAGCAGAGTAATTTAATCAGGCTTGCTTATAAACTGTGTGAGAAGTGAAATTAGGAATGTCAGTGAGGCCATTCTGTAATGCTATTTATCCCCTAATATAATGGACATAGACTATATATTTTTTTTTTTTTTTTTTTTTTTTTTTTTTTTTTTTTGTCCTAGGACGCTAGGCACGAGCCTGGGATTGTTTTTCACATTACTTCAGGCTAGACCTAGGGGTTGCGGCATTATCACTTAGTCACTTAGATAAAATCCATTGGTGACTTGGTGGGGATCGAACCCGAGACCTCACGGACCGAAGTCCCGCGCTCTAGCCACTACACCAGCTCGCTCCCCATAGACTATAATAGAGTATTAGTAGGTAATTATACTTAGTAATTTTTTTTTTTTATTAGTTTTGGTTAGAATTTGTGAATAACGTCAACCAACAAACTAACAACAGTCCACTCCAAACCAGATGGAACTTACGTGTTTTTATTGTCCTTAGATAAAACATTAAGAGGATAAATATACAATCAGTATATAAAATCTGTTGATGTAGTATGAGTTCACATTGTTTGCTTTCGTAGTAAATGTTTCTGTATTTCGTGTGAAATTATTGTTAAGCCTATACCACTAACACTAACACACTATATAACACTAGTATAATTGTATAACACTAGTGTATATATAGTCAATGCCTTTAAAAGGTTTTGGGCCTCAGCTCTCAGCACCCAAGCTAATACATCCCCCATTAGAGCAGTGAGTGGTCATTTATGTTTTATGCTCACGTCAGTACAGTAAAATGGTTTATGTGGTCTATTTTTAGCCGGTAACGGGCCGAGCAGGTTTAGCAGCTAATTTTACCCGACAAGTCCACTCCGCGTGCAAAAACTGATCCGGAATGCAATCTGCAATCCTGCACAAGCTGTTAACGGATGCGCTTGCCTCGTCATTGTTGGGAAAAAGAATGTAGTTCATCTAATCTGGGCGAATTAAATGTAAATCGAGTTCATGTTGAAACGTTTTTAATTTTGCAAAGTTGCAATTGCTGTAAC